TCACAAACAAAATCACACAATTCTTTACCCCACCTTAACAGACCATGTTTGGTGACTGATGTTGGACTTATTAGGCTGGATTTTTCACCACAACTATTGCTTCAAAGGCGAGGATGGATCAGACACCATGAACCACTAGAAAAACAATCATTGACCCATCGGTGGGCAGAAAAGAGAGACAGAGAGCATGTGTGGCCAGCCATCAGACAGATGAGTCAGTCAAAAATTAACAAGAGAACAAAGGATGGCGAGAGGATAGAAAAGTGGAGAGGATAAAATCTCCCTGCACACTTTGTCAGCCTCACCTTGGCGGAGGTGGATAGAGTAGTTTACTTTCATACTCACGTACATGTACTGATACTTTGTATTGATAAAAAATGGCTTGAGTGCGAGTACCAAAGTATCAGAATCAGACAACTGCTTGTAGTACTGAGTAACTTACAGAACTGCAGTGGAAATTCAGCATCTATCAGCACATGAACTGAAGACTGTAAAACTCTGCTATTCTTTTAGTCTAAAATAAAATGCTAAAGCTCCAGTCAGAGATGTGACTAATCACAAAGCAGCACAGATGTTGTCTCCATCAAAACAGAGCAAAACTGAACACAAAAATAGGGGTTAGTAGCTAAATATGAATGGCTAACTGAGCAAAAAGGTGACTCACTAATATACTCGAGTAGAAGTCAAAGTATTAATATTTAAAAATACTCAGCAGAGAGCAAATCTGTCAGTATTTCACTGAAGTACATGTACTTGTGTAAATGTAACACTACTACACACCTCTGCACCTTGCTGGTCAGAGTTATTAACTGTAGGTCATTTGCTGAAAGAAATGTGATAAAGCGAGAGGAATTTTAGCTCAGTCATCTAATTTTCAGAATATGTATTTTTCGGGCGAAAATACAGAGCGAATTTTAACATAGTGAGCAACTCTGTAGGTATTTCCATACATCAGAGGGGGAATTTGAGGCTCTGCTTGTTGCTCCTCTCATTAAAAAAGACCATTCAGATCGGGAAGCTGTTTGCGTTTCCTTATGAGCATGAACAGACTAGGACGCACCTGGATAAACTAAAAACAGCCATATACAGTTACTGTAATGTACTCACTGTCATTGCCAGCCTTTCAGCTCTGCTCCGGCATAAATTTTTATAGCTTTCACATTTTTATAGTCAGCGTGTTGCTTTTTAAAGTGCCAAAGTGAGTGCGATTACATGCACTCAATAATCTGATCATAATCTGATTTCTGCAGTTATCTGATTATTCAAATGGTTAAGTAAACAACATACTCTAATTTCTTAGATCAGAGTAAGGTCTAGAGTCTTTCTGACTTTCATATACGTGTGTTTGTTTTCAGAAGTTTCATGTTTAATCCGTAACAATCAGACTTGGTTTGAGTAGGCCTTTACTCTGATTTCTTTTGTTTTGCTTAGTCTGTGCATGTGCACAAACAGAGTGCTGTCCTGGAAATAGCAAGCAGCGTTTAACCCAGCACCAATGAAATGGCAACAAAATACTTTTGGTGTGATGCTGAAACTGACTACATGCTTGACAAGAATTGGAATATCTTTTTTCTAGCTCCTATGTGTCAAACATAAGGCCTAATTCTATCTGGCCTGTGAAATTATTTTGATTTTCAATTAATATTAGCCTCTTTCACAAGGTGCTGCACTACAGTCCCCAAGCATGCACTACAACATAATGTGTGCTCCAAACCCCCTCTCCCAACAACAATCCATGGGACAGCGGTTACATCACAATTCTACACAATTCCACACTAGTCAAATTACCAAACACACTAGCTAAAAAACCGATCACAAGAGTGAATAAAGTTACAGCAAAGAAAAGATGGCAGGTGTCTAAATCAAGCAAACAAGCAGGTTTAAAAGATTTATCTTTTTTTTAATATTTCAAGTTTTTATTCAGTATTTCAAGGTTTACTACAAGTGCCTATATTTTGCTGTTGACGTTTGGCATCTTTTGAATAAACAATGGTCAGTTCAGGTTATAGCAAAATGATATTTAACAATAAAATAAAAACACATGCATTCTCAGCATCATTCAGAGGCTGAGTTTGACACCCCTGATCTAGATGATGTGTATTCATATTGCCAGTAAAGTGACTCCATGTTTATAAAAAAAAGTTGCAGCATCAAGTTGGAGTTTTATGTCACTTCCTTCTTCTTATCTGAGTTTACTGGCAGGTTGCAAATCATGTAAATCATGTGCATGTAAATGTGTCAAACAAATTAATGACAAAAGTTACCTACACAGTGGAGCTAAGGGAAGTGTTTGTAATAAAGTGGCATTTCACACCAAACCTCGCTGAATCACCATAGAAATGTGCAGAAATTTTGAAAAATTGGTGGAATTCCCCTTTAAGTGCCTCCCCTTAAGAGCGCCTGCCAAATGCTGTTTAATGTAAATGTAGAGTTTGTTTTAATGCCAGAGTTTGCTATATGAAGTGTTTGTGTGTGTGTGTGTGTGTGTTTGAAGTCACTGAAGCAGTGCGGGTAGCAGGTGCACGCACAGCCATTACGCTAATAGCTGCATTGTGTACAGATCATTAGCTGAAATTGTTTTTGCTTCTGAAAAAGCTATAATAACCCAACATAAACCCACTTCAATATTAAAGGCACCAACTCTAAACCCACACACACACAACAACGATGAGAGTAACAATGTCCCGACTGTCTGGACCCTCTTATTACTGACCCCTCACTTACCCTCTCCAGCAAAGCGGCTTATTATGTAACATTAGCGGAGGGTTCTGAGACAAAATAAAGAATAACTACTGAAAGAATGGCCAATATCTCTGGAGGAATCACGTTATGCATGTGTGTCTACCAGCTCTGTTCACTAGCTTTAGCAACTCAAGCTGAAATCTTCCACTAACTGGCCACTTTATAAGAAACACCCACCTTATCTGTCCACTGTGAATCACTCCGTTCTTACCAAGTCAGAATTGTTCACAGTGATGGTGATAAGAACCAGACGTCCACTTCTAAAAGCTCCCTCACAGAAAGTTATTACATGAAATGGTTATGAATACACTGCCTGATGTCTGAGACATTGTTTTATGATAGTTTTGAGTTCTGAAAATTCATCCATTCATGGGAGGGATACATGCAGGGCGCTGTAAGGCAAAATAGTCCCCAAAGAAAACTTGTTCTTTCAGATTTTCCACTATTTTCCCATCATCAACATAAAACGGCTATATAAGTGTTTCTCATAAAGTGGCCAGTGAGCTACACTCTTAAAAAGGACGGTTCTTCAGGTGTTTTTTAGTAAGTGGACTGGTTCTATTTAGAACCATGAACACTCAAAGAACCATTTGCATGCTTAAATCATTCTCTACATGGTGAAATTGTTCTTCAGATTGATGGAGAACGTGTTCTACATAGCACCTAAAAAGGGCTCTTCTATTTTTATGATGTCAAGCTTGTAACAATAGAAGCATCATTTTGGTGCTATATAGAACTCTTTTCAAAAAGGTTCTATGTAGAACCATCTGCAGCACATTTTCCATCAATCTGAGGAACATTTCACAATGCAAAGAACCCTTTAATCATGCAAAGGGTTCTTTGAGTGTTCATGGCTCTACGTAGAGCCATTTTCTTTACTGAAGAATCCTAGAAGAACCATCTTTTTTTAAGACTGTGGAACGATTTTCATTTCTATATAGAACCATGTATAACACATTCTCCATCAATCTGAAGAACTATCACCATGCACAGAACACATTAAGCATGAAATGGTTCTATATACAACTTGTGGTTCTAAACAGAACCATTTCCTTTTACTGAAGAACCCTTGAGTGTATAGTTTCTCATTATGCTGAATAAATAATTGACTCTGAATGCATATATTATGATATAAATTGAGTCTGTTCTACAGTTTCTCATTAGGTTGAATGAATAACTGACTCTAAATGTATGTACTGTGATATAAACTGAGTCTGTTCTACAGTTTCTCATTAGGTTGAATGAAAAACTGGCTTTAAATGTAGGTATTGTGATATTAACTGAGTCTGTTCTACAGTTTCTCATTAAGTTGAATGAATAACTGACTCTAAATGTAGGTATTGTGATATAAACTGAGTCTGTTCTATAGTTTCTCATTAGGTTGAATGAATAACTGACTCTAAATGTAGGTATTGTGATGTAAACCAAGTCTGTTCTACAGTTTCTCATTAGGTTGAATGAATAACTGACTCTAAATGTAGATATCGTGATATAAATTGAGTCTGTTCTGCAGTTTCTCATTAGGCTGAATTGAAATCAAACTACAGTAGCAGCGTGGATAGGACCTTCTACAGTGGTTTCCAAATAGTTCCTTCAAACTGTTCCATCACAGATCTTCATCACTCAAAACCCTTATCCATCTGTAATGCTTTAACTCACCAGCAGAGAACCAAAAAAAACCTCAAAGAAATCTACAAAAACAAACATGCAAACACACCGCCACTTCAGATCCCCCCGCGAAGCAGGAAACCCCTCATCAGAGGAACATCCCCCCAATCAGAACTACGCTGACCTCTCTAATCCAGACTAGCCGACTGACCACAGCCGTTAGCCGCCAGTTCTCGCATTACCGATGACACTTAACCTCTTTGTGAGCGTTCTGCTAGCTCTGGGTCTGGCTAAAATAGAGACGTTTCTCTTTTCTGTCTATAATAATCTGACCGGGCAGGTTTGGCTCTGCTCCAAACCCAAATTGGTCCACTAAAACGCTTCTGCAGCGTTCCAGCAGATGTTTCAGAAAAGGCAAACCGTAGGAGCACAAAGGCAGAGAATAAAACAGAGGTTCACATCAATTCCACAGGCTGACTGCAGTCAGAAAAGGAACAATTTTATGGCAGATTTTAACGTATTAGTGTTTTATTAGGTTGATAAAAACAGCCGGCTGGTCGCGAACACGCTCGAAGTGCCGCCAGTCCATTCTAGAGATAATAAAGTTCACACCCAGGGACTGTAAAAAGAAATAAAACAGCAGAACTCACCATCTGAGAGCGGCTCTTCGGACAGCCATTGATGTCTTCAATCTTTTCATTGGCTGAAATAAAGAAAAGAGACTCTTCTTACATTCTGTTGAATTATTTCAGACTGAAACAAGAGGGCTGTGTGGAAAGTGCAGATTCTAAACTTTCAATCCAGAGCACATTAATGTCTGTAAGTAGAAGAGGAGATATTTTATTATGATCTGAATTGAAAATGAAAAATGAAAAGTTATTGTCAAAACAAACCTGTCCATACAAACCTGTCCATACAGAATAGAAATCAAATATTAACACAGTTCATGATGGAACTACATCATTAATTGTACTATTATTACTTCAAATAATGATGTAAAGTCAATGAGATGTAGACAAAGTCGTTCAGAGTGGTTTGGTGTGAAACATTCCGTTCTAGAGAAACTTACTGAGTTAGAATTGTTCACAGTGGTGGTGACAGGAACCAGACCTCCAACTCTAAAAGCTCCCTCACAGAAAGGTTTTACATGAAATAGTTATGAATACACTCAGACACTGTTTTAGCCAAAGAAAACTTTTCAGATTTTCTCCTATTTTCCCATCATCAACATTCCATATAAAACTCAGAAGACTTGTTTAGGTTCACTGTTGGTTTTGAATAGTAAATAAAATGTCTATATTTGTGCTGTAGTCATGGTGATCTCTGGTTCCTATCACCACCACTGTAAAAAAGTCTGAACCATTTCACACCAAACCAATCTGAATCACTCTGTTTACATCTCACACACCCAGTCATGCAGAAATATTGGAAAAATGTGTGGATTCCCTTTTGATAACTGCTAGTGTTCAGGTACAATGTGTGTGTGTGTGTGTGTGTGTGTGTGTGTGTGTGTGTGTGTGTGTGTGTGTGTACGTGTGGGCCCAGCCCTCTCACAGCTGCTAACAAGAGGCCGTTCACACTCCCAGCTGACACACACATACAGTGACAGCCTGAGACTCCTGCACCACAGGCCTGATGGGCCCCATGGTGGAGCTCCATCACAGGGCACACTATACCACCTACAGTGCAAGAGGAGGAGGGGGTGGAAACGTATTACAGGTCAGGTGAATAAGCACAGTGAGTCCATGTGAGTAAACAACTTGTTACCTCACTATATTGAACTTAAACTGGACGTACAGCACAGCTTTACAATCCTAACAGGTTCAGAGAAACAGAGCGTTTCAGATTTAATGTCAGTTTTTAACAGAATAGCTTCTTATTTTACACATTAGATGAGAGATTGTATCACATACATAACCAGTTTCAGGTACTAAAAAGCATCACGACAAACAGAGCCGAACTGGACCTATACATGTGTCTATACATTATACATATTACAAAGGAGTCTCTCTCCTGGCTCTCTAATTGACTGTTCCCTGAATCACTGATTTACTTATGTCACTGATCACTACAGAACTCATTAACATTTTGAGTTGTAAGAATTAAATGTAAATATAAATATCAAAAGGCCTCAGACACTCCAGAGCTGCAGTAGATGCTTACAATGGAGCCGGAAAATTACTTTAGATGGAGACAATTGGTCAGAAGTCTGTCCCTGGTTAGTCAGAATTCTGTCCCTGATTGGCCAAAAGCCTGTCCTCAATTGGTCAGAATTCTGTTCCCAATTGTTTAGAAGGCTGTCAACTCTGTCCCTGATTGATTCAAAAGCCTGTCCCACGATTGATCCAAAGACTGTCCCTGATTGCTCAGAAAGCTTCCCTGAATTGGACAGAAGGCTGTCCCTGATTGGTCAAACGACTATTCCTGATTGGTTAGAAGTCTGTCCCCAGTTGGTCAGAAGGCTGTCCCTGATTTGTCCAAGAGCTATTTATGATCTTAAATCTCAAACTTATTTGATCCTGGAGTAGGTTAGATGTATAAGTTCCCATGGCATCAGTATTGCAAAGACCAACATCATGATGAGGATTAACAACTGATATATTTTGCAGCTCCACAAAAGGTTCTCAAAACTGTGCAATCATTTCAAAAGCAGGCACATGCATTAGAGAGAGAGAGAGATCATGTTTCAGCAGCACTTGTCTGTTGTGTTATGTCCTCTTGTCTCCAGGGCAAAAGGAGCAAAGTGGCTCCACTGATGCTGCTGAGAGGAGATATCAAATAACAGCCTTTAAACACACATGGCAGCGTCTCTGTGTGACTATGCACTTATTTATAGAGCACTTTCATCACAATGTGATTGTGATGAAAGTGCTCTATAAATTAACGCATTTCTTTACATTAGCATTTTAAAATTGTTTGTTTCTATTTGTTTATGCTCACTTACAGCTGTTTGGGAATTGAAAATAAGTCAACACATCCTCTACACACTCTACGCACATTTTAATGCACAACTACTGTTTGTTTACTGAATTTAACATATTGGAAAATAAACAATGCCAAAAAATAAAACACATTTTAGATTTTTCCAATATGTCATATGCAAATAGTTTAACGTATTGGAAAAACAGAGAATGTGCAAGCTTAATTTCACCTAGAAAATCCAAAAAAAAAAGAGTCATTTTACTGTTGTGTTCAAACTTATGCATATGTCAGTTATTCATAATAACTGAACACAGTGTTTCAATGAGCAATGTTTATTAACCCAAAAAACAGGCTGTGGATGGTTTGGCAGTGGGCTAGCAGTGAGCAGGGCAATAGACTAACTGCTGGAATACAGTATTTTGTTTTTAATATTCATGTAATATAATAACATAATAAAATATTATTATAATGGTATGTTCTTAATTAGTTGTTTAAAGTTTATTTCTTGCAATTTACATGTTAATCGTGTGTAGTATTAAACATATCCTCCTATGTCATGTCTATTTATGGTTTCTTAGCTCCTTTCAGTTAAAGCTAGCACAAAGAAAAAAGGAAGAAACTGACATTAACAAGCTTTTTACAGCATCTTTAAACGAAAACTAACCACTAAAGAGAAAAGAGAGAACAATACCAAGAAGAAAAAGCATAATTCAATTGAAAACAATGACACTTATATAAAACACGCACTGATGGAGACTGGGGATGCTAATGTGCCATGTCCACTGTAAGTGAATGAGGCTATGAAGTCGTCCAGTTCTTTCAACGTTTAGAGGCAAAACGTTCCTCCACAACAGAAAAGCAGGCTGACTTGTGGTGATGCTGCAACGCTCATGAACAGTCCATGTCACAAAGTTTTGGATAGCATATTTGGATCCTTTTTTATTTACAATATTAATTGAATGTTTGTTCATCTGTTTTAAATGTAAAATTTACTGACGTTTATAATCTCAAGCCACTTGTACCACTATTATTGCCACTACAGCTACAAGTGGGCCATAGGGCAGTGGGGTAGTCGGGTGGGGGGCTAGTGGGGCAGATGGAGTGGGGGCAGACTCCTAGGATGGTCAGCAGGAGCAGCGGATGGAGAAATATGAGGTTCTAACAGCTGATGGAAGGGCGGGAACCAAGAATAGCCTCAAGTTCCCCACAAGACTAACTTTGTTTAGGAGAAGGATGTGTTTATTAAAAGTCGTGAAAGCATTTAACAAGTGTCATTAATAAAGGTAAAGATGACCAAGTCAGAATTGTTCACAGTGGTGGTGATAAGAACCACACGTCCACCTCTAAAAGCTCCCTCACAGAAAGTTATTACACGAAATGGTTATGAATTCACTGCCTGATGTCTGAGACAATGTTTTATGATAGTTTTCAGACAGTTTTGGGCTTAAAGTCCATTAACGGTGGAGGGACACATAATATGTAGGGCATTGTGAGGCAAAATAGTTCCCAAAGAAAACTTATTTGTTCAGAAATATCACTATTTTGAGCAGCATTTATGCTGCATACAACCAAAACAAACTGCCAGAAGATCTTAGATGAGCCCCAGTTTTCAAATCCAGGTTAAAACATTTCTCTTTTCATGCGTCTGTGATTGAGCTCTGAGACTCGCACTCTATTCTTACTGCACTTTACCCTTAATAAGCGAATTTTAATAACAATTAACTCCTTTGTTTTGATTCCCTTTTATGTTTTTATTTTGTATTTTATACTTTATGTTTCTTTAAACACTTTTTTATTGTTTTTCATTCTTAAGCACTTTGTCTTTATTTTTGCTTTTGATACTCCTTTTGCTTTTATTTATGTAAATTGCCTTTGTGTATGGTATATACTACATAAATAAACTTGCCTATTTTACCAACAATACAAATAAAAACCTCTATAGGAGACATGTGTAGCTTTGCTGGTCATCATGATCTCTGGTTCCCACCACCAGCACTGTAGATGATGAAACTTTCATGCAACTTTTGTTGCTTGAAACCTGCACGAAACTAAATCACGTTTGGCTAATTGGTGACACTGACATGATTTAATGCAAAGTTTCCTGCAACTCATTCGAAACTGAGCCACAACAGTCACAACCGTCTCGACTGAACAAGTTTCATGAAACAGCCAATCAAAACTCTTATTATGTTCTAAACAACATCACTGGATGAAGGGAGAATAAAATAAAACAGAATGTGGTTTATTGGGCAGCTGAATAGCAGATCGTCTTGATTCCTTTTATGTAAGGCTGTATGTTTTTCATTGTGTCAGTTTTCTAAGCAATAAACAAACGTGAGTTTCTCAAAGCTAACATTTCTGTAAACAACCAGTTTAACTAGCCAGCTAACGCTACCAGCTGTTTAAATGTCTGCTTGTGCCACCGTTTATTCTTCTGTTCAGTAGCTAAAGGAGACCGAGACATGCTCAGTGATGAAACTGCAGTGATTGTGGGATGCAAGCAGAAACGCAATGGCTACATAACTATTAATTTAATATGATGTCATTTATCAAAACTGCTAACTTTTTCAATTAGCGGAGTAACTGAATGTGTTGCGTGCAACTTTGACTCTTTTTGGATTTTGTAACTGTCAAGTTGCACGGAAATAATGTTGCAGGGAACTCACAGCATGCAGCTAGTTGCACAGAAGCAATGTCAACTAAGACCTTCAGCCTTCTACATTCCAGTTGTCACTCTGATAACCATTACGTATATGGAGTATTCAGAGATTGTACTGTTTGTACACTTAAAGGAAGAGTTCAGTCTGAAATGCTAATGTTGCTAACAATGAATGAAAGTAAATGGGTGTTAGTTAGCATTATGTAAATGACACCATTAAAATTGAGGGTCATCTCCATCATTGTTAGCTTATTTAGCTGAGCTACTCCTTTAACTCCTTCACATTCATGAACGTCCCACTTTAAGGCATATTAATTAAATAACTTTAACTAAATGAGAAATTATGCAAAAATGATTATGAGTTATTGTTAAGTATTATTAAGACCCATAAAAGTGATTAATATCTGTCTAATTCATCATATGACTGCTGGCTCTGTGCAGTTTAAGATATAAAATTGACAGGATCAGTATAAGAAAAGGATAATCAAAGTCACTCTCTTACCTACAACTTGGATGATTTCCGCCAGCAGAACTCCATCACTGACATCCTGCTGCAGGTCCTTAATCAGCCGCTTGTGTCCTGATTTTGCCAAGTAATGATTCGCCCAGTCCGTGTAGATCTGACCATAGAAAGAGAGAAAGAGGGGGAGAGAGAGAGAGAGAGAGAGAGAGAGAGAGAAAGTGGTCAGTAATCCATCCGTCCAGACTTCAGATCCACTCTGTGGTGTAAAACGAGCTAAAAATAAAGTTTAAAAGTAAAAATAAGTCCAGTTTGGTTCAACAGTGGGTGAAACGAAAGCACAAAGCTCAGCCGTGAGCTCCAGGGCTTCAGAGCGTTTGGGCTTTTGTAGCTTTTGTTAGCTGTGGGACGGCCCCCCATTCACTCTGAAACGCTGAAGGCTCCCCCCCTCCCTCCCTTGCTCTCTCTCTCTCTCTCTCTCTGTGGGGGGGTCAGCATTGAATGGCTCAAAGCTGCTTTAGTCAGAAACCTTCAGCATCTCATTACAGACGGACACATTCAGCGGTCACAGCAACAAACGCAAGAGCAAATAAACGCTAAACTGAAATCATTTTACTCTGGAAACGTAAGTGGACAACAACAGAGCTCAGTTCATTCTGAATTTAGAGCTAATATCACTTCACTCTTCACTGTCCCATACAGTAACATGCAAAGGTTTGAATGTTTACAGTCAGAGTACACTTGTTTTCTTGATTTTCTAAATGAAAATAAATCAACAAACTTATGGCACTTTTCTGCTATTTTTCATGCACAGTTCCTATTTATTCGATGAAAAAAAAAATAACACAGAAAACATAAAATATGCCATACCTTTAGCACAGGCCATATTTTGTGTAAAATATTGTTTCCAATGTGTTAAATTCAGCAAATAAACACTAGCTGTGCTCTTAAATGTGCAGAAGAGTGTCTCTGTAGAGGATATGTAACTTATTTACTCTCAAAAAATAAACAACAACATGGACTTTGACCAGGGGTGCACAAACTTTTACACAAGACTGTATCTGAGATATTGAATTAAAATTTTATAAATCCATCAAAGCATAAGCCTGTAAGTGAGTTTTTGCCACTCAGTGTATCACCGAATTCAGTCTTTTGGTCACATGACTGCTGATTTTTATGATGAATTACAGTCAATTACATTTACATTCAACTTACGCAATATGGTCATTTATAGGTAATTACATTGTTACATAATTATTTACTTTGTTAGTCCCATAATGAGCTACATTTCTATTAGATTTCCATTCTGTCTGGGCAGGTTCGAGTCTGCATTTCTGAGTATCTTCTGTTTGTTTTATCATCAAAAAATGACAAAAACAGTAAAAAAGCAAAGGATGTTTGTTTTCCTTATGCAAATCACAACAATAACTTTTCATCAAACTCAGATCATAATAAAATTTTTTGTCTTTGACTCACAGACACTAATTTGGTCTGATTAAGAGTTTCAGTGAACTGAGAGTCAGATATGATGTTATTTATCGTCTGGGCTTCTAAAGCCGTTTGTGTAAAACAGCAGAAACAACTGCAGTCAGTGAACCTCACACTGACCCCACAAGCCTGCGCTCTGTTTTTAGGCAGAACAAAGCTGAGAGGAACGAGTCAGGAGTTTATAATGATGAGTACCAACAGGTGCACACGCACACACACACACACAGGCTACCTAAAATAATGGTCCTGAGAGTCTGTAATAAGGGTATAATTAGAGAGAGAGAGAGAGAGAGAGAGAGAGAGAGAGAGAGAGAGAGAGAGAGAGCTGTAGAAAATTTTATTTTATTTCACTTTGGTAAGAAGGTAAAAGAAGAAACCCAAGAAAGCAGAAAGAAGAAACTCTATACATCAAACTGAGAGATGAAATTCAATCTCAGAATGACTGAAACTCTTGGTTTAGCAACAGACTGAACAGCTTACACAGCTTTCAAAAGCATTTTCCCAGAGAGGCCGAGTCTTTCAAAACGTTGAGCAACGCCCACCAAGACCCAACAAGAGCTGAAATTCCAATACAGCAGACTAACAGACCCACACACTGATTACCACAACCAAAATCACTACACCTAAACACACTAGACCCAAAATCTTCACACCTAAAATCATCAAACTAAAATCATTACACCCAAAATCACTACATTCAAAATCATCATATTAAAAATCACTATGCTTAAAATCATCACACCCAAAATCACTACACTCAAACTTATCACACCCATCATCACTACACTCAAACTCATCACACCCAACATCACTACACTCAAACTTATCACACCCAACATAACTACACTCAAACTCATCACACCCAAAATCATTACACTCAAACTCAACACACCCAAATCATCATATTAAAAATCACTATGCTTAAAATCATCACACCCAGAATCACTACACTCAAACTTATCACACCCAACATCACTACACTCAAACTCATCACACCCAACATCACTACACTCAAACTCATCACACCCAACATCACTACACTCAAACTTATCACACCCAACATCATTACACTCAAACTCATCACACCCCAAATCACTACACTCAAACTCAACACACCCAAAATCGCCACACTCAAACTTATCACACCCAAAATCACTACACTCAAACTCATCATACCCAACATCACTACACTCAAACGTATCACACCCAAAATCACTACATTCAAACTCATTACACCCAACAACACTACACTCAAACGTATCACACCCAACATCACTACACTCAAACTCATCACACCCAAAATCACTAAACTCAAACTCATCATATCCAACATTACTACACTCAAACTTATCACACCCACAATCACTACATTCAAACTCATTACACCCAACATCACTACACTCAAACGTATCACACCCACAATCACTGTATTTAAACTCATCACACCCAAAATCACTACTCAAACTTATCATACCCAAAATCACTACACTCAAACTCATCACAGCCAACATCACTACACTCAAACTCATCATACCCAACATCACTACAAACTCATCACACCCAAAATCACCACACTCAAGCTCAACACACCCAAAATCACTACACTCAAACTCATCACACCCAAAATCACTATACACAAACTCATCACACCCAACATCACTACACTGAAACTTATCACACCCAAAATCACTACATTCAAACTCATCACACCCAACATCAGTACACTCAAATTTATCACATCCAACATCACTACACTCAAACTCATCATACCCAACATTACTACACTCAAACGTATTACACCCAAAATCACTACATTCAAACTCATCACACCCAACAACACTACACTCAAACTCATCACACCCAAAAATCACTACACTCAAACTCATGACACCCAACATCACTACACTCAAACTCATCATACCCAACATTACTACACTGAAATTCATCACACCCCAAATCACTACACTTAAACTCAACACACCCAAAATAACTACTCAAATTCATCACACCCAACATCACTACATTTAAACTCATCACACCTAAAATCACTACACTCAAACTCATAACACCCAACATCACTACACTCAAACTTATCACACCCAAAATCACTACATTCAAACTCATTACACCCAACAACACTACACTCAAACGTATCACACCCAACATCACTACACTCAATCTCATCACACCCAAAATCACTACACTCAAACTCATTATATCCAACATTACTACACTCAAACTTATCACACCCACAATCACTACATTCAAACTCATTACACCCAACATCACTACACTCAAACTCATCACACCCACAATCACTGTATTTTAACTCATCACACCCAAAATCACTACTCAAACTTATCACACCCCAAATCACTACACTCAAACTCATCACAGCCAACATCACTACACTCAAACTCATCATACCCAACATCACTACAAACTCATCACACCCAAAATCACCACACTCAAACTCATCACACCCAAAATCACTACACTCAAACTCATCACACCCAAAATCACTATACACAAACTCTTCACACCCAACATCAGTACACTCAAATTTATCACATCCAAAATCACTACACTCAAACTTATCACACCCACAATCACTACAGTCAAACTCATCACATCCAACATCACTACACTCAAACTCATCATACCCAACATTACTACACTCAAACGTATTACACCCAAAATCACTACATTCAAACTCATCACACCCAACAACACTACACTCAAACTCATCATACCCAAAAATCACTACACTCAAACTCATGACACCCAACATCACTACACTCAAACTCATCATACCCAACATTACTACACTGAAATTCATCACACCCAAAATCACTACACTCAAATTCATCACACCCAACATCACTACACTCAAACTCATCACACCTAAAATCACTACACTCAAACTCATCACACCCAACATCACTACACTCAAACTCATCACACCCAACATCACTACACTGTGCAGCTAGAGAAGTGTGTGTGTTTGTGTGTGTGTGTGTGTGTGTGTGTGTGAGAGAGAGAGATGGCACAATACTTCCATTATTGCCCTTCCACACACACACACACATACACACACACACACGCAGAGTGTCGTGTCAGAGTGTCATAAAGGGGGTGCCCTGCTGAAAAAACCCACAAAGCATCGTCCCTATGACTAATTTTTCCAGCATGCTCAGCCACTCACAGCTCTGAGTCGTGTGTCAATCTGTGTATTATCTCTGCTGTCTGTAGTGGCTGGGACTTTCTATTAAAGGGCGCATTATTAAGAACAGAGCCTGACTAGTTTGAAGTTGAGCCTTTGAGCATGTTTGTCACGATATACCATCTCTCTCACACGCACACATACACTCTCAGCACTGTAGAGAAACTCAGCAGGTGTTTACACAGCCCTCCAGTGTACACACACATTCATGAGTGAAACAACCCAAAATCATCACACTCAAAATCACTACACTCAAAAAAAAATCTCACCCAAAGACTACACTCAAAAAACTCACCTAAAATCACTACAATAAAAACATCTCACCAAAAGCACTACACTCCAAAAAAATGTCACCCCAAAGCACTACAATAAAAAAAACTCATCCAAAAGTACTACACTCAAAAAAATCTCACCCACAAGCACTACACCAAAAAAATCTCACCCAAAATCACTACACTCAAAATCACTACACTCCAAAAAAATCTCACCCAAAAGCACAACACTCAAAAAAAAATCTCATTCGAAAGCACCACACTCAAAAAATATCTCAGGGCTCCCGAGTGGCGCGACCGTCTAAGCGTTGGCCATATCATGAGATTGCGAGTCCGATCCCTGGTGACGCTACACCCATCCGTAGCCGGGAGTCCAAGAGAGCACAATTGGCCTCGCTCTCCCTGGGTGGGTAGGATGGCCCCTCCCCCTCCCCCCATCACCCAACGCGATGCCAGTCAGCGCAGGCGTATGTTAGCTGACGTAACAGATCTGGCGGGTGGCACTTTCCTCCAAGCGCGTTCACCTGTCCAATGACGTTGCGTGAGCGGCAGTTCGAAAAGATGCGGTGGCTGGCTTCACAGGTCTCGGAGGAAGCCTGTGTTAGCCTTCGCCCTCCTAGCGTTGATGGTATCGTGTGATTGGGGGAGTACTAACTAGTAGGTGGAATTGGAGACGACTAAATTTGGGGAGAAAATTGGGTAAAAATCAAAAAATAAATAAATAAATGAATAAAATCTCACCTAAAATCACTACACTCAAAACAAAATCTCACCCAAAATCACTACACTCAAAAAAAACTCACACAAAATCCCTACTCTAAAAAAAAAACCTCACCCAAAAGCACTACATTCAAAATCACTACACTCAAAAAAATCTCACCCAAAATCACTACACTCAAAAAAAACCCTCACCCAAAATCACTACACAAAAAATCCTACCTAAAAGCACTATATTCAAAATCACTACACTTGAAAAATCTCACCCAAAATCACTACACTCAAAATAAAATGAATATTTCACCCAAAATCACTACACAAAAAATCTCACTTAAAATCACTACCCCAAAATCACAACGCTCAAAAAATCTCACCCAAAAACACTACAAAAATATTACACCCAAAAACATTACACTCTAAATCACTACATCCAAAATGATCACAAAATAATTACACTCAAAATCATCACTAAATAAATTAAACCAAAATAATTACATCTACAATTACTAAACTTTAAAGCCCCCCTAAACTTCTACACTCATGTTCATCCCTGCGTTACAATTATTAATGTATCACTGTGTAGTGTATCTCTGCTGTCTTTAGTGGTCGGGACTTTCTGTTGAGTGCCGTATCGTTAAGAACAGAGCCCGACACATTTGAAGTTGAGCCTTTGGGCATGTTTGTCATGATATAACATCACACACACACACTGACACACACTCTCAGCACTGTAAAGAAACTCAGCAGGTGTTTACACAGCACTCCAGTGTTTGTACACACACACACACCTGAGTAAAACACACCGTCTGTGTTCCAGCAACCTGTCAGCAGTTCTCCATCAGCTGCTGCCGCTTCTGCTTTCATCTCCGTCTATTCACTTTATTACCTGAAAGCTTTAAGCAACCTTAAAGGAATTTCCTAAAAAGCCCCTATCCCTGCTATGCTGTAATTACAGGGCTAATGCAGCGAGTCACAGAAGCACTCCGTTTCCCAGAGGCTTGAAGGCCTGCACCTTCAAACTCCATTACCACACACAAACACTCATGCTCGATACCGCCAGCAGAAAATAACAGCCCACTTAAAGGTAATTATATTAGAAAATGCAGCGAGGTGACTGAGAGGTCAGCTGAGAGAAGAGCGGTCAGTGCTAAAATGAGAGATGCTATCGCTGGTGAAGCAACAATGGCAAATTGGTTGAATTGGAGTCAGTATTTTGGGGTCCTTTAAGTGCCTTCTTGTGAAACCAGAACACACACACACACACACACACACAGTAACTAAAGCAGAACATTAAAGCTTCCTTGCTGAAGAACTATTAGGATTAAAACCTGATTTTTGCTTTCTAATGGGAATTGGCTAAATCGTTACCATCATAGACCACTAGTTTCCTGTAGGACACCTTTAGATCCCATTAGGAAACCATCAAATGCATCTGGAATCAGAATAACTGTTAAACCATTAGAGTCCTTTACTGGTTTGCTTTTTTCAGCAGGGTTGATAATGCTGCGAAATGCTCTCATTAAAACAAAATACACAATATTTAATTATTATTGTGAGCAACATATATTAATAGCATTAAAATTTAACACCTTACATGGCCAGGGCCCACCAACAGGCCCAAAGTTTACACACTTCTATAACCTAAGAATAGCTCAACCAGTTTGCACTGAAGTTCCTGTACTTACTGAATAATGAGACTTAGTATGTCCAACCTCATTTCCAAAAAAGTTAGGACACTGTGCAAAATGCAAATAAAAACAAAATGCAAATCATACAAACCCTATATTTCACTGAACATAGTACAAAGACAGCATATCAAATGTTGAAACTGAGAAATTCTTTTGTTTTTTAAAAAATATTTGCCAATTTTGAATTTGATGCCAACAACACATTCCAAAAAAGTTGGGACGGAAGCAACAAAAGGCTGGTAAAGTGCTAAAAAAAATGCTATAATGCTAAAAAAAACACCTGGTGGTTGATTGGCAACAGGTCAGTAACATGATTCGGCATAAAAAGAGCATCTCAGGGGGGGGGCGGGGGGCATTAGTGCACATGGCATGGATGACATGCACATCTGTGAAGGCACCATTAATGCTGAACAATATATACATGTTTTGGCAACATATGCTGCCTTCCAGGTGGCGTCTTTTTTAGGGAAGACTTTGCTTATTTCAGTAAGACTATGTCAAACCACATTCTGCATGTATTACAACAGCATGGCTCCGTATTAAAAGGAGCCTGGGTGCTAAACTGACCTGTCTGCAGTCCAGACCTGTCACCAATGAAAACATCTGGCGCATTATGAAATGAAAAACACAACCAAGGAGACCCCGAACTGTTGAGCAACTGAAATCCTCTATCAACAAGAATGGGAAAACATTTCACATTCTAAACTACAGCAGTTGGTCTCTTCAGTTCCCAAACGCTTACAGAAGGCTGCTAAAAGAAGAGACGATGAAACACAGTGGTAAACATGCCGCCGTCCCAACTTTTTTGGAACGTGTTGTTGTAATAAGCCTGGGATGTTAGGGGGTTAATCTGTGATTAAATTAATAGTCAGCTCAAAAAACTAATTTACACAATTTTCCTCCTTAACTCAAATGTTGTCAATTAGTCTAAGGACAAAAGCTACTGTTGTAGCTACACTACTGTACTTTAGCTCATATTTACAGATAGTGAGTCATACAGTGTCAGAACCCACATAATCAAGTTTAAACATAGTTTAAGGCTAGTGAGTGATGATTTAGGCATTCAGTTAG